CCCAATTCCTCCCTTGAGTCTCTGGAGAACAACTGAATATATATATTTCATGTCTCTATAGTTGTGGTTTCTTACTGCACAACTCTATAAGGTGCAATGTTTCCTGAACATTCTGGTGTCTGGTGTAATCTTCCCTTACGAAAACAACCTAAAGAGAAAGAAGCTGCTCAACTAAATTATCTTTAATCAATGATTTCTTCCCCTTAGAAACGTTCATAACCATTAAATGGGCTCCAAGCAATGCCACAAAGCTTTCTATTTCTCGTACAGGAGAGAAATTAGTTCAATTTCACAATAATGTATGCCTGTCTTAGAATGTGATTCATTTTCTAGTACTGAAAAGAATCTTTTATTCTATATTTATTTTGAATGCTGAGATTTTTATTGATTGTAAAACTAAAGTTCATTCCGCCCAACAATGGACAGTAGTCAGATGTGTGAATAAAGTCAGAGAGAGATCACTGCTGATTCTCTCGGTCCTTTCTGAGCTCTATACCATTTTGTACAGTGGAATTGCCTAAAGGTCAGGTTCACGAAGAAGTAAGTCCACCTAGGAAACTATTGTGACGTTTCTCTTACAATTTTCTTTAGTTCTTTGATTACTACAGACTATAAGTTTTCAGTTGGAAAAAATCTGTATGTACTGAAGAATTCTTTTATCTCATTCTGTCTCCCTGACAACCCGATATTTCCCTGCTGTAATAGGTCAGGAGTTCTTAAAAGGCATGAAATACATCTCATCTCCTTTAAAAAAATAGAAAAGGTTTCAAAATTCTCCCTTCATGTCTCACTTGAAAAGGAGTTACCTGAAGAGGGTCAAGATTATCCAAATAGCGGTAGTGTGTAATCAAGTAGGGAAAAAAAATTACAATCTTATCTAGAAAGAATTTCACAAATCATGTAGATAACTAGAAATATTTCAACATATGAGAAAGTAGAGAGGCAAATGGCGAATGATTGGTATTAACTTTTACATTCTAAGATAGAAGTTAATTTTTGCCTAAAAAAGGGAGTTAGTATGAACCAGGTCAGCTCAATTTGCTTTCTAGGCAAAAGGAACCCTAAGGTGATAAAATCAAAGTTGTTTTATACTACAACTTAGGGATATCCATCATAGAAAACTTACGTTGTTTAACACTTACAGAGCATTTAGAGTTTGCAAAAACAGAAAATACACTTTTATATATTCCTTAATTTGAATTAGCTAGTGCACTCTTCTATTTTATATATCATTCTCTCTCAGACATCTTCTAACATATGCAATTTCTCTTAAACACACATAGTTATAGAGAACTTGGTACTTCTTCTAACTCATTCACTAAGCAAGATGACAATATTCTTTAATTTGTTGAATGAATTGAGAGGCAGGTCTTATTTATCTTTTCATCTTTCCATCCTTACAGGATGTATCCTAAGCCTTGCCACCACGTAAAACATCTACATGTGTGTGTGTGTGTGTGTGTGTGTGTGTGTGTGTGTGTCTGTATGTGTATGTATTTTCTTTAATTCCTTGTAGAATGATTGTATTTATTAGAGTTTTCCTCCTTTTTCTAATCTAAAGTTACTCTTATTAACAATTCACCTTACTATTAATTCACCACTCAGAGACATAAAAAATAATCCTCACTTTGGGAGGCCGAGGCAGGTGGATCACGAGGTCAAGAGATCGAGACCATACTGGTCAACATGGTGAAACCCCGTCTCTACTAAAAATACAAAAATTAGCTGGGCATGGTGGCGTACGCTTGTAGTCCCAGCTACCCAGGAGGCTGAGGCAGGAGAATTGCTTGAACCCGGGGGGCAGAGGTTGCGGTGAGCCGAGATCGCGCCATTGCACTCCAGCCTGGGTAACAAGAGCGAAACTCCGCCTCAAAATAATAATAATAATAATAATAATAATAATCCTAGGTAAAGTCAAAATAATGGCCTTTCAAATATTTGAAAATCTGTGCCTTTCCTTGCCTTGGTCTTCTTCATTCCAGCTAAACATCCTCAGTCATTGTAGTCATTTCTTATCTTTGGCTTCAGTGATGTTTCATTATTCTAGTCTCACAACGAGTTGTCTTTTCTTGAGTATAATTTCTTTAACAAAACACAGTATTCAAGCTTCATGCTGATCAAAGAAGCATCATTGGGCAATCCTCTCTCTTTTTTCAGATGTTACACTTCTATTCATGTAATCAAAGACCATAGTCTTTGATACATAGTCACCATCACATATTATGTATACTATTCTTTACTTATATTGGCATTAAGAGGAATCAAAATTTCTAACAGAACCATGAAAATGGAGGGAAATCAATATTATAAGTTAACAGCATGAGGTGAGCAAATAACCATATAGAAAAGTAAAGAAAGCATTGATTACAAAGCTGGTAAACACATGAATAAAAATAGAATAAATTAAATTAAAGGAATAACTATAGGAAATTAATAAATATAGTTCCTGCTGCATAAAAAAAATAAGGCAAAAGAGACTTGACGTTATATTCAAGTGAAATTGCTGTTTTGTTATAATAAATTCCATGACATTGTGAGAGTTTTTGAAGATTTAAAATTGATTTTTTTTCTTTTGGTTTCTGTTGCTCAGAGGAAATGCATAAAATAGCAATCATATCTTTGAAGGAGAAAAATACTCTTCATTTTCCCAGGTGTGCTGTAGTAAAGGAACAGGTGTTAACACATCGGTTAGCAACTTATTGGAGTCAGACTGATATTTTTAAAGGTCCCAGAAAATCACTGTGTTAATGTTAAATCTGTGTTGTCTCAGATTTTCTTAGATGATCAGAGGCCCAAGGCCAGAGGTATTGACCTTAAAATCATCACTTAAAGCACCTCAGCAGCACCATATTCAGGAATAGTATATTTTCAGCTATTGTGAACATAAAATTAACATTTACAGTTCGTGCGAATGTAAACAGTGAAAAGCTAAAATGGAGCATCTGTGACTTCAGAGACAATGACTTCCTGTATTGCGTTTCACAGCCTGCTTCATTGTGGTCATATATATTAATATTTAAAGCCACTAGTCTTGGTAATGTGTATTGATGATGCATGACAGTGCCCACACTTTATATATACAGTTCTGAGAACACAAAACCACAACTCTTTTTGTAATTAGCACTATGCATGCTTTTAAATACTGATACAGGCCTTCACTAGTAGAAAAAGACTTACACATTCAAAAGTATTTAATACAGAATGCCACTATTATCAAAATAAGAAAACTGGTCCCATGAAAATTCTATATTTTGTTTTCATGGGACCACTTTTCATACCAAATTTGCAGCTAGAACCTAGAATACCTTCAGCTATCTTCATTTTTATTCAGTTTTTTGTTTATCATTGCTTTCTTCCACTAGGTGTCAGTATTGAATAAGAGCAGAGACACGCTTCTCTGGACATCTGGTCTCTTGCTGTTTTAACGTTCATATGAAATGATTAAACCCTACCTGCATGTATGTCTGCATGTAAATGATGAGTTTTTTTTTTCTTAACATATGCAACCGATGATCTTCACAAGTTACCCAGAAACTTCTATATGAGGGTGATTCTTTCATAAAATGTTTTCCTTGTGCCTGTAATCCCAGCACATTGGGAGGCCGAGGTGGGTGGATCACCTGAGGTCAGGAATTAGAGACCATCCTGGCCAACATGGTAAAACCCCTCCTCTACTAAAAACACAAAAATTATCCGGGCATGGTTGTGCGTGCCTGTAATTCCAGCTACTCAGGAGGCTGAGGAAGGAGAATCGCTTGAACCTGGAAGGCGGAGGTTTCAGTGAGCCAAGATCATGCCACTGGACTCCAGCCTGGGCGAGAAAGCAAGACTCCATCTTAAAAAAAAAAAAAAAAAATTGCCTTGTACTGCCCTTACCCACTAATTATGAAGGAAAATGAAAATTTTAAACCAGTACAATTGGTAATAACTTGCAAATTGCTCTGAAGTAATGTTCAACATTTCTGCTACATTCTATATAAATGTACTCCTTATTCTTAATTTGTCCTCACTACAGCCTTTAGATTTTGAAACAAAGAAGGCATACACTTTCAAAGTTGAGGCTTCCAACCTTCACCTTGACCACCGGTTTCATTCGGCGGGGCCTTTTAAAGACACGGCTACGGTGAAGATCAGCGTGCTGGACGTCGATGAGCCGCCGGTTTTCAGCAAGCCGCTCTACACCATGGAGGTGTACGAAGACACTCCGGTAGGGACGATCATTGGAGCTGTCACTGCTCAGGACCTGGATGTAGGCAGCAGTGCTGTTAGGTGAGAAAAAGAAACGTTTTCTTTTCTGTTTTACAGAAGAAAAAAAAAAAAAAAAAAGAACAACATCAACAACAAAAACTCTCTGTCCGAAACTGCATGATGATCTAATTATAGAATATGATGCTTGGAAACATAATGACTTTACATCAAAACAGATGAAATGGCATAGGATTTGGAAAAACAAAAAACAAAAAACAAACAAAAAAAAACATGATTAAGGATTGCAACAGTTACTAGTGGTGCTTTATAACCACTAGTGGTCTGATTCTCATGCCACTCAAGGTAACAAATACTCAACTCTCCATGTATAATCAGGATTTAATAATATAACCTTTTAGAGAATGATTCTCATAATTAGCGATATTAAGATACTTTGGAAGTGCCTAGAGTATAATACATATTAATACATTTTTAATTACTCTAAAATTTCTGTCCCCTTACCCAAAGTTAGTGTTTGAAAAAGTTAGCTGCAACCTTTGCAATTTGCATGTCATTTTTCCAGTGTGATAAACTTGTGTGCTGGGTTCAAGGCGAAAGGAGTAGAGGCACAGTTAGTCAGTCCTAAGGTAAAATGAATTTATGAAATTGCTGAAAACACACACTTTGCAAGGAGGTGCTACCTGCTCATCTGTCTCCCTCTCTGTCTCTCGACAAATACATTCCTCTAGTATTATCAAGACATAATACAATTTCCCTTTTCCTCACTTATACATTGACCTAGAAATATGTTTGGATAATTCTTTTTCCCATTCATTCCATTGTACACTTGAATTTTCTACCACATATCTACAGCTGCTGGGAAACCAAATAAAAAACAAGTATGAGATTTGTCCCTGAATCTTCTACGTCTAAATAATTGAATCTCAGTAGGCAAGAACCAAAATAAGAAAATATTAAGTAGGTTTTTAAAGCAAAAACACTCTATTCTATTGACATACAACAGACAAATATCTTGTAAGATTTTACACCATGTGTTAAGTAAAGATTAAAACAATGGATAGCGTATTCAGTGGTATCCTTAACACAATAATTGCATATAGTGAAATCTCAGAAAGTGGCTTGACAGCATACGTAACTTGCTGTTTGGATTTATCTGACTCCATCACCTGTAATTACACGAATACTGCCTCAATCAGTTCTAGTTGCTATAATCCATTAACAAATTCTGGATGTATTAGTCTATTTTCACACTGCTATAAAGAACTGCGCTATAAAGCAAAGAGGTTTAATTGACTCACAGTTCTACATGGCTAGGGAGGCCTTGGGAAACTTACAATCATGGCGGAAGGGGAAGCAAGTGCATCTTACATGGCAGCAGGCAAGAGATAATGAGTGAAGAAGGAACTGTCAAACCCTTATAAAACAATCAGATCTTGTGAGAACTCACTCGCTATCATGAGGGGGCAACCACCCCCCTGAGCCAATCATCTCCTACCAGTACCCTCCCTCACATATATGGATTCCAATTTAAAATGAGGTTTTGGTGTGAACACAGAGCCAAACCATGTCACTGGGTGACTTAAGCAACAAACATAGTTCTGGAGGCCAGAAAGTCCAAGATCAATGGACCATCAGATCTGGCATCTGATGAGGACCTGCTTTCTTTTCAGCAGGTGGTCATCTTCTCCTCGTATCCAGACACTGGAGAAAGAGAAACAGAGCTCTCTCTAGTGTCCCTTTTGTAATGGTAAAAATAACTTTCTGAGGGCTCCATCCTGATGAACTAATTACCTTCCAAATGCCCCATCTTTTAATACTACCACATTAAGGTTTAGGATTGCAAGATGTGAATTTTGGGGGATACATATCAGCTCATACTATTCTAATTCTGCCCACCCCAAATTTATGTCTTTCCTACATGCAAAATGCATCCATCCTCAGAACCCCAAAATTCCCAACTTCTTCCAATATGAACTCAAATCCAAAGTGTCATCTAAATATATCTAAACCAAACAAATGTGAGACAAAAGGTACAATTTATACGGAGGCCAAATTCCTCTCCAGCTGTGAAGCTGGGAAACCAAGTAAGTTATGTGTTTCCAAAATACAATGGTGAAGATATTCCTATTCCGAGAGAGAAAGAGGAAAGAATAGAGGTGTGAGAGGTCCAATGTAAGTCTAAAACCTAATGGGGCAAACTCCATTAAACCTTGGTCTCAAGCATAACTCAAACTCCGTTAAACCTTATTCTCCTATGAGTGAGAACATGCGGTGTTTGATTTTCTGCTCTTGTGTCAGTTTGCTGAGAATGATGGTTTCCAGGTTCATCCATGTCCCTACAAAGGACACATAGGTGGGTGTTGAACAATGATAACACATGGACACAGGGAGGGGCGCACTACACACTGGGGTCTGTTGGGGGGGAAAAGGGGAAGGACGGGGGGGTGGGGAGTTGGGGAGAGAGCATGAGGAGAAATGCCAGATATGGGTGAAGAGGGGGAAGGCAGCAAATCACACTGCCACGTGTGTAACTATGCAGCAATCTTGCATGTTCTTCACATGTACCCCAAAACCTAAAATGCAATTAAAAAAAAAAAAAAACCTTAGTCTCAAAACGTAAACTTTCTGTAGCTCAACTCTTCACCTTGCAGGTCCGCTAGAATGGATGTTCCATTTTTAGACTCATTAAGGTGGCAACATAACCTCCCCAACTCAGAGGCCATCACTTGTGCTGTGGCTCTCTGCAGTGGCCTCACTCGTGCAGTGATCACACCCTCAGAGCTCCATTGGGCAACATTATCCCAATGTCACCTCTAGGCATTGATCTCAATGTTAGAAATCATTATGGAAGCAGCCGTTCCACAAGCCTGGTGACATCAAGGCTTATTTGGGTGATTTGGAATTCTTCCTTTGATTTGGAGAAGTATGCATGCTCATAGCTGAAGAGCTCTATGCTATTTCATAGAGCTGAAGAAGTCTGATGGTCTTCTTTCATTTTACCATGTTTCTTTATGTTCTTTAGTACCAGCCGGCAGTGTTTCTTCTATTATAATCTCATCTATTTTCCTGGTTTTTTTGAAATAGTGGATGAAGTTCATGGTTTACAACTATACAAACCTTCTTATTAAGTAATTGATCTGTCATCCCTTAATCTCTTCTAAACACACTTTCTCATTATTTTGGAAGATGGACAGGTTGAGACATTTCCAAGTCTTTAAGCTTTCATTTCTTTTTGATTAAAAATTTCATCTTTATTTAATTTCTTTTCTTTCAGGTTTTACTGTAAGCAGTTGTGAGGAACAAAGCTACTGCTTTCACACTTTGCTTAAATCATCTCCTCAGCTAAATATCTAATTTCACTACTCAAAAGTCCTTTTTTCCATGAAATACTAGAACATGAACACCATCCACCTGTGTTCTTTGTCACTTTATGACAAATATTACCTTTCCTACAGTTTCTAATGGTATGTCTTCACTTTTCTCTGATAACACATCAGAATGGCTTTTACTCTCCATGTTTCTACCAACGTTCTGTTTCTGATTGTTTAGATGTTCTTTAAGAAGACAGAATCTTTCTCTATAGTTGTCTGTGCCCTTTACACAATATTTTTAAACATTCATAATTTTAGCACTTCAAAACTCTTCCGGCCCGTACCCATTACCCAGTTTCATAGTTACTTCTACATTTTTAGGTATTTTTTATAGCTGCACCCCTACTGCTTGGTAGCAACTTCTGTTATAGTCACTTAAGGCTGCTATAAGAAATTACTGTAGATGGAGTAGCTTCAGCAACAGACATATATGTCTCTTGTTTCTCGAAACTGGAAAGTTTATAATCAATGTGCCAAGAGATCCAGTGTTTAATAAGGGCCTGCTTTCTATTTAGCAGAAAGTCATGTCCTTGTATCCACACAGCAGAAAAAGAAAGAGAGCTGTCTGGGTTTTTGGTTAGAAGGACACTAATCCTATTTATGAAGGCTTCACCCTCAGGACCTCATTACCCCCACAAAGCCCCATATCGAAATATCATACATTAGACATTAGAATTTCAACATAGGAATTTTGGGGAAACATAAACATTCAGTCCATAAAAATGCTTTTCTTCTTGAAGGGAATCTATAATCAGGAGAGAACTCTAATAAAAGCTCATCTATCTTTTAAAAAGAAATAAGTATAACAATTATTGAGCACTCCTACATTTCAGGCTGAATGCTAACCAGTTTGCTCACTGGATTGAAACTATTGTTTTACATGTACATATGACAACATGATTCAATTCCAGTTAGGTTCCAGAAAACCAAATATGATTTATAGGGCTAGATGCACTCACACGCGCGCGCGCGCGCACACACACACACACACACACACACACACACACACAGAAAATATTTGTTGAGGTATTCTCCAGAATCTGCTGCCTTGGTAACTATGATGTATTATTCTAACATTATTTATCAGTATTTTATTTCTGAAGCACATGTTCATAATTATAAAAGCAGAAGATGCCTGATGAATAGATTTACAGTTTTTTAAAAAATATGGGCAGTTACTGAAAAAATATTGAAGTTTGCAGCAAAATAAAAAGTAAATAAAGATTAATTGAAACTCTTTGCAGGTCAATAAATAAGAATGTAGATACAGAAATTATGTATCTAGAGAACATGTTATGTTGTTTAATTTACTATAGGTTCTATTTTGAAGATATAAAAGAATGATGGGGCCAAGATATTAAGAAAAACACGATTTTAGTGCAATACTTAACAACTAGAAAAATCAAAACTTTCCTAAGTAGAAAACATTATTAGACAAAGATACAAACTTTCAAATTCAAGAAAATTGTTAGAGTCAAGACCCCGGTGTGAAGAACAAAGGAAGGTTAATATGAAAGAAATTCTCCTGCTGTAAGTATGTTTTTTATTTTGTACATTTTATGTCACAGTAGCTAGCAGCTGATATAAAGTAGTGTACCAAGTCTTAGTTCTAATGAGTAGCAGCCTGCTCACTTGACATAGATGTATCTAATTGATCCCCACGAGGGGCTGTCAAAAAACAGAGCTGTT